CTGGTGGTCAGTGCAGCCATAGCGACTGGTCGACCGGTCGGCTGCCTGCCCCCTGGTGGTCAGTGCACGTCATAGCGAGTGGGTGAACGGCCGTAGCATATCATTAGCATCTTAAGCTTTGATTGCTTGAACGGCCGACCGGCCGACCGGACAATTAGCCTATTAGGCTTTTATTCTACAGGACATTTTTTTAAAAAATCACTCCACTTCCCCACGGATATCGCCTCAGTCAGCGGGAGAACGAAATTTCCCGTCGGGTGGCGGGTTTTAACGTCCCCGTCTCTCTCCTAACCCCACACCCTTCAGCTCCAAACCCGCCGATTACGAACGTAAGGATGGAGCCCGGGACCAAGAGGCTGACCTGGGATCTCCACGGCAACGTCTCCGGCATCAAATGCACCGAAGGTCCCAGTTCCGACCTAAAGGTAAAAGCCGTTCCCGTGGACGTAGCTCACTAGACGCTACCATGTCTTCTACCCAGAGACCCAGCCAAACGTCGAGCCTGAGGCCCTCTCGGGGTGCACCCCGGCCTGTGGGCTGTGGGGCGGGGCATTTACGGGTACTGGGCTCAGGGTGGGTCGTCCGTAAAATGTCTCAGATGGTACCGCTCGGCCCGGCCAGTGTGGCTCAGCAGTTGAGCGTCGGCCAATGAACCAGGAGGTCAGGGCACGTGCCCGGGTTGTGGGCTCGATCCCCAGTTGGGGGCGGGCAGGAGGCAGCCGGTCCCCGATTCCCTCTTATCTTTGACGAGAGAGGCCCGGTGCACGAATTCGTGCACCAGTGCGGTCCCTCTGTCTGGCCTGCGGAGATCAGGGTGAAACCGGCTCTCCGAAGTCCCCCGATGGGTCCCGGATGGCAAGAGGGTGCAGGCCAGGATGAGGGACCCCATTGGTGCACGATCGGGGCTGGGGGAGGGCTCCTGGGCGTGTCTGGCCCATCTCGGTGAAACCGGCTCTCCGAAGTCCCCCGATGGGTCCCGGATGGCGAGAGGGTGCAGGCCAGGATGAGGGACCCCATTGGTGCATGATTGGGGCTGCGGGGAGGGCTCCTGGGCGTGTCCGGCCCATTTCGCCCAGACCCCAGCAGCAACCTCACCTAACGGTTGGAGCTTTTGCCCCCTGGTGGTCAATGTTGTCATAGCGACTGGTTGAGCGGTCGAACAGACGGGCGGACACTTAGGATATTAGGCTTTTATTATACTAGTACTAGAAGCTCAATGCATGATTGAATTGTGCCCGTGTAGGGTCCCCTAGGCCTGGCCTGGCGTCAGGGACCCCAGCAGGAAGCTAATCTACTGGTGGTTGCTTCTGGTGGTCAGTGAGCGTCATAGCGACAGGTTGAGCGGTTGAACAGACGGTCGGACACTTCGGATATTAGGCTTTTATTATACTAGTACTAGAGGCTCAATGCATGATTGAATTGTGACCATGTAGGGTCCCCTAGGCCTGGCCTGGCGTCAGGGCCATGTCCACTGCCCCGTAACGCCTCACACGCTCTGTGGACGCTGTAGGGCCCCTTCGGGGAAAGGGGGGAGGGTCTGAGAGATGCCCCATGCACCGCCTGGTGACCGGTCGTTTGGTCGTTACGCGTTACGGTCGCTGGTCTTTTATAATGTAGATAGGAGGGATGTTTCTGCCTCTCTCTCTGTCCTTTCCCTTCTGAACTCAGTAAAAGTATGAAACACACACAAAAAAAATAATAATGTTAAATATGATGAGCATCTCTAAACGGGACATTCCTACGTCTCTTTTAGGCCAAACACAACCTTTTCTGCCAGTTCTATGTGCTCCCCAAATGCACGCGGACGAACTACACGATCAAAGTCGCCGTGGTCGACGGTGAGCCATACTCCACGTGGATTGAGTATCCCAAGCAAGGTGAGGGCTAAATGCTGTATATATATTGATAAATAGAAAGATAGATAGATAGATAGAT